GCCGCGGGGCCCGGTCCGGCTGCCGCCCGGCACTGCCTTCCCAGCCGTTCGCGAGTGCCGCGCTGCTCCGCTGTGACCCCGAGGCCCCTGGGTGTGCGCGGAAGGGCCCGCGTCGTTGCGCTGCGGGAGTTGTGACGATTGGGAGGGTTTTGCCTCACGTGTCGTCGCTGATAATTTGTGTCCGCGCTGTCTCCACTCCGAAAATCAGAACGCGGTGTGAACCCCTACGAGCCCGGTGCGCACGGACGCCGCGCGTCGTGCTGCGCCGTGGACTGCGCCGCCCCGTGAGTCCGGACACGTGCGGAGCGGAGGGCTCCCCTCGGGCCGAGCCGGGCCGGAGACGGGCCGGAGACGGGTCACGCCGCGAAGGTTGAGTCAGGTGCTGGAGACGGGGAGTCCTTACTCAACCTTGATGTACTCGCTTGGGAGAATCCAGACGGATGTCCGGATTGTACAGTGTTCTGAGAACCCTGACACCTGAGACTCGTTATTGGAACTAATGTTGTGGCAGTATTGCCTTCCTAATACTCTCGTGCTAGAATGGGGGTGTTCAGATGACATCACCATTTTCAGCATTTTCTCAGAGGATTAATGATGAATGGGAGATTCTTGTAGAACCATCAGGATCACAGAGTGAGTTGAGGAATTCATTACCAAATGTTTAGATAAAGCAGCAGGTTAGGTGTGCAGCCTTTCTGTGCAGTGGACCTCAACTTGGCTATGGTTCAAGGGCCAGAGTTGGTAAAACCAACAGTGCTGCTTTCTGCCACTGACCACTTCTTTCAAGGAGCCCGAGAGAAAAGAGCTACTGGATTCGCTGGCTTTTGATTATGGTTTTATTTGCCTGGAACTAGGGAACTCACAAGAAGGAGCTAGCACTGGCACTGATGGCAAACCTTTGCAATTACATGTGTGTGACCCATCAAGACATCTGAACGTTCTTTAGAGACAGGAGACCCTCTCCTTGATTCCTTGGAAGGCTTTCTAGGTACATGTGGAGCCCAAAGACCTAGGTTGGTACCTGGGCAGGGGCAGCCACAAATAAAATATGGTTGTGGTGGTCATTTCATCTGTCAGACCCTAGAGCTGCCTTATGAAATCTTTCAGTTCATGTGAACTTAGGTTGGAACCATTGTCATCGGGAAAAGACCATGTTGGTGAAAAAAAAAAATTACTGAACTAAAAAAACTGGAGACAATCCATACATAGCTCTTGGAGATCTGTAAAGGTGGGGTAACTGCCAAAGCATTTATATGCTACTCCATAATATTTTCCTTGATTAAATAACTGCCTGTTCTACATTATAGTCAGCTTTAACAATGCCCTTTGGCCATTTTAGCTCTTTGCTTCACCTTTTCTTAGAAATCAAGAAATATTCGGGAATTTCTAAATTCTGCAAAGGAAGAAGTGGTACAAAGAGTCAGCAGAAGTATCTAGAATCCTAGGACTGTTTTAATGCTATGGGAACACACAGTTTGTTCTTTAGCAACTTATATGTAATGGAATGATGTGTTAAGACTAGCAGGCACAAGACAGTTGAATAACGTTTAGGCTGTTATATGTTCCAGAATGTGTAGCTAAAGATTCCAAAGGTTATAGGATAAAAAAATGCAACTGAATTTGGGTTGATCTTGAACATGTGGGTAGGACTTAAATATACAAATGTGAAATCAAAATTCTCCTACCAGGCGTTTGAATGCCTCTTCTCAACATGTATAGGCCTTAATTATATAAATTCAAGGGCATAATTTTATATTAATATAAAATGTTTTTATGACACTTCTGTAAGTTTTATGTATGTATTTGTGTTTGATAGTCACAGCTACATTAAACCTAATGGGATTTTTAAAAAATGACTGCTGAATTATTTTGCAAAGCAATACAGTATTCTCTTTCTGCGTTTATAAGATTTAAAGTTGAGTTTCCTAAGTTACATAACAGGTGAGTGAGTGAGTAAAGTAGGAGAAAGAAAACATTCATGGCCTCAGGTGGTGAGGGACAGTGAGTGACTGAATTCTAGACTGTTCTGGTCAAACATCCACAAATGCCTGCTGTGGTCCTGTCCCTGTGTCATGATCGGATGTTGTACAACGAGACATCAGCCAGCAAGGCCTAGAATCACGGTCCTGGCATGATTAACAAATACATTTTTATAGCCTTTTTATTTTTCCAGTTCCTTATCCTGAGAACTGTTGTGTCTGACATGTCATCAGATATTCTCTAATGAGGCAGTCCATGAATTCAACAGATAAGCAGTGATGTCTCTTTCCACTTAGCGGTTTAAGGAAGAAAAGTCTGTCAACCCCTAGCTTCAGACTTTTCTTTGAACTTGTTTTCCTCAGATGGAAAAGCCAGTAGCATTAGGCTTGGCATACGGGATACTTAGTTAACAGTGGGCAAGGTTTCTGATAATTAATCTTTCAAAAGAATATCACTTATTAGCTGAGCATAGTAATCCCAGCCATTCAAGGGGCTGAGGCAAGAAGATAAATTTGAGGCCAGCCTAGGCAGTTTAACAAGTTTCAAAATACAGCACTTAACAGTATAATCTCTTAATTTATAAGATTTAAATGAAGTTCAGTTTCTTGTATTACATAATGGGTGATAAGTGAGTGAAATAGGAAAAAATAATACTCACTTTAGTTCTAAATGAAACTAAAGGGGCTGGGGATATAGCTCATGCACCCTGGTTTCAAAGTGCCTGGGATGTGGGCGTAGAGATGTATAGATATAGATACATCAAGATAGATGGGTGTGTTTACATAAATGTATATAAAAGTTGCTTGTTATAACACCAAAGACAGAAATTTTAAAGGAAAATATAGTTAAATTTGGCTACATAAAGATTAATATTTTAGTATGGCAAAAATCAGTTAAAAATTTAAAATACATGAAAAATTTTGTATCAGATATCACTAACAAGGTTTCGCTATTTTAAAGAGCCTCATATGTTCTTATGGAAAAGATGGAGGGAAAAAAAGGAAAGGATGGATACCTTTATTGGACAAATAACAGACTCAAGTAGATGAAAATGTTTAACTTTACTAGAAATCAAAGATGTATATTATTAAGGATAATGAGATGTGGTTTTTTTTTTTTTTTTTTTTTTTTAAAGCCAATCTGGTTGAAAAAGTTTGAAAGTATCACTGCCCAGTGCTAAGGGACACAGACACTTAGCACTTTTAATGGGAGTTAAATTTCCTTTAAAAAAATCTATTGAAGATACTTACCATAAAGTCTGTATACAATTCAGTGATCTTTGGTAAATTCTAAAGTTGTGCGACCATTCCCATACTCTAGTTTTAAAGCTTTTCCATAACCTCCAAAAAGTACCTCATCTTGTTTATGTCCCATCTCTACTGCCACCTCAGCTTCACACAATCACTAATCTACTCTTCTATTTTGCTCCGGGATTTGCCTTTTTTGGAAATTTTTTATAAAAGGAATCATATAACATGTATACTTCTGTGTCCAATTTCTTTCACTTAGGGTGTTTTTGAGATGCATGTGTGTTATAGCATGTATCAGTACTTCATTCTTTTTCTTCCCCAATGATATACCATTGTACAGATATACATTTTTGTTTATCCTTTCACAAACTGAAGAACATTTGGATTTTTCTAAATTTTGAACTGTTGGGAATATTTATATGTAAGCTATTACATGGATTATATATTTTCATTTCTCGTGGGAAGATTCTTGAGAAAACGGTAGGTGATATGGAAGTCTATGTCTAACGTTGTAAGAAACCTCCCAACTGTTTTCCAAAGTGTATGAGGGTTCCAGTTTTCCTACAGCCTTGCTCATATTTGGTCTTGCCAGCGTTTTTTGCTTATGGACATTCTAATGACTCATTCATATTTCTACAATAACTAATGCAGATGAGCATCTTTTCATGTGTTAACTAACGTAATGTTTTCTTCCAGCCTGTAGCTTTAAAAATTTTGTCCTAATGGTATTTTTAGAAGAATAGAAGTTTATAAATTTTGATGAAATGTATTTACTGTCTAATACATTTTTGCTTGATCCTAGTTCATAGATATTTTCTCCTAGAAGTGTCATGGTTTTAGCTCTTACATTTAGCTTTGTGATCCATTTTGAGCAAATTTTGTGGGAAGGATAAGGATTTTTTTTTTAACGTTTGGATATCCAGATATTTTAACACCAATGTCTGAAAGATCATCCTTACCCCACTGAATTGCCTGCATGCCTTTGTCAAACTCAGTTCATTACAAATCTAAAGCTGTCTTTCTGCACCGCCGATTATGTTTCACTATCTGTAAGTCACACCAGTGCTGCACTATCTTGAGTACGATTGTTTTGTAGTAAGATTTTAAACCTGGTAGGGTCAGTTCTTTACTTTGTTCTTTTTTCCAGAATTATTTCACCTGTTAGGTGTTTTGTGTTTCCATATAGACTAATGAATCAGCTTGTAAATTTCTACAAAAAAGGCTCTCATGATTTTAATAGGGATTGAATTGAGTCTATAAATCAGTTTGAGGAGAATTGCCTTTTAGTAATATTGAGAATATGAAAGAGCCTGGCATCCATAAGTGCTTGCTGAGTTTGAGTTAAATATTGATGTGGAACCTATATTGAGTCTCAAAAATGGCAGTACTGTATATTTTTATCTGTTT